AAAGACATAATATAGATTCTTCAGCAAATTCACTTATACTGGATTTTATAACAATGTTCTCACGAGACCAAATACCACCAATTGACAATCTTGTAAGCAATCCTGCTGAACCTTCTACTGTAAACGTCGATGGTAACATTCCACGAAGGTCATCTATTGACATCTTTGAGTCACTGAATTTAAATATTTTCTTAAAGCAATCGTCATTATCTAACCATGCAATAGCTTTGAAGTTTTCATTCGAATATACATCTGCTTCATTAAATGTAAAACCTGACTTCTTTGCAGAGATGACTTTAAAATCTATTGAGTTTGTTTCAAAATTATATGCTATGGTAACTTCTGAAGGTAATGGATGCCTTCCGCAGTCAGTTGTTCTCTCACTACCGTTTGAAGCTTTGTGTTAAAAACTTTCATGTCATCTCCTGTGTCTAGGTTCACATACACAGCAACAGGGAAACTATCTTGCTTCTTTGTTTCATCATTATATCTCAAAACATTAAAGTTCTTCAATAATATTGTTCTTCCTGCTGGAATACTTCTAACTTGTCTTATTTCAATAGCTTTCTCACCTCCTACATACTCTACCCAGTGTCTTGGATATTCATAAGTATACTGACTTTCTTGAATTTTGGTAGGTTTCATCATAACGTGTTCATAGTATATCTTTATACTCTTGTCAGTTAGACTCGGTGCTATGTTCTGAATATTTCTGACTTGCATTTTTAATGGAGATAAAATGAAGCATTTAATACATGACGTAGATGAAGACATGAATGAAACTACAGACAAACTTAACTCTTCTCTTATTCTTCCTTTCAGCAAAGATTATGAATTCTGTTCAAATGGTGTTTATTTCTATTGTGGAAAGATGGGTTCGGGTAAGACATTTAACCTCATTCGTCATATACTCATAACAGAACGTTTAGGAAATGACTCATATTATGACCAAATCATTATATCAGCAACTTCAGACTCTATGGACTCAACAGCGAAAACATTTATGTCAAAAGTTCAAGCCTCTGTCGTTAAAGTTCCAGACAGTGAACTCATTGAATTTCTTCAACGTTACATTCGACGTAAGAGAAAATATTATGCCATCGTTGAATTTATACAGTCAGGAATGCAAAAGACTTCTGAGGAGATGGAAAGAATTATTGACAAACACCACTTACGTCAATACTCAGGAGTTTACGATATGAAACGACTTACAAACTACATTCTGTCAAAACTTTCAAAATACCCCTTCAAAAAATATCCATCAAACACTCTGCTCGTTTGCGACGACTTCGCCGGTAAAGGTTTAGTTTCAAAGCCTGACTCACCATTAGCTAACATCATTACTAAAGTCAGACATTACCACTTAACTGTAGCAATACTTATGCAAACATGGAGGTTTTTAGCTTTAAACATAAAACGTCTCATAACTGACTTCGTTATCTTTCAAGGTTTCTCACGTTATGATATTGAACTCATTTGGAAACAGTCAGGTATAACATTACCTTTTGAAGAAATTTGGGAAGCATATAAGTCTCTCATCTCTCCTCGTTCATACCTTGAGATTCATATCATGACTAATACCATTAAAGTCAAAAATATTCCATGGGAACGACCAACATTGTTTTAAAGTTTAACCTTCAATTGACTGATGGTAAACAAATTCCATGCATCTCTGTCGCCATTTCTGTTAATATTTTTGCTGTCATTCATATCATCCACTTCCCCATCCGTTAGCTTTTGAGGATATGCGTTAGAATAGCTGTTCTTAAATGAAGGCTTTTCACCTTTGAGAGCATAAACTCTATAACTTTCTGCATACTTTATGTTTGAACCTCCTGAGCCATCATTGACATAAATTTTTATAGGCTTCCACCCTTTGTTCATGTTCCTGCTTCTTCCCTTAGCTCTTTTGTTCAGTAGTTCTACATCTTTATACACAGCTCCTGTCTCAGTGAATTCAACAATATTTTCATTCGTTAGCTTTACATTCAAACCCTTGTCGAGTATATTGTTCATTTCATACATATAAAAGGTTTTTATTCTATATGAAATGAGAAGCAAATCCATCTTAGCTGGTGCCGTTAATGTTCCAATTGAACCAACATCAAATGTTGACTCACGAACGACAAACAATATTGTCATAAAGAACTATAGTTCAGAGTGTTTGAAAGAAAAAGAACCAGAGCTGAAATCCGTGAATTTAAACACAGCTTCAAACGCTAACGCTACATCAGATGTTAAGTTAGAGTATCCACCACTGGACCAAATTCTTTCAAGAGAAGCCAACGACAATCCTTACACAAATGTTCAAACAAATCCTTCAGATAACGTAGACCATTACCTTCTTCAGTTATACCAAACAATTTTACTCAAAGACGATAAGAAGCTTTTGACAAATCTTATAAGTAAGAACCAAATAATTCTAACAAAGGAGGACCTTGAAAATGTTATCTCACGAATAACAGGGAAACAATGTGTCATTGACTATCTCGACCCTGAATCGAATGCTGTGGTCAAACGCCACCATTCATGAAAATAGGTAACATCCGCATCATTGAAATACCAGGTACTCCAGGAGTTGAGTTTAAGTATAAATATTCGAACGAGTATACAAAACTTTCAACAGAATATAAACTTTGTTTGAAATATGTTTTAGTAAATTAAAGCAATTTGTAATATCTATCCAAAACTTCTTCAACAGTATCGAACTCATCTTCATAATGCAAACCTAATCTTATTGACTTGGTGCAGTTTTCACTAACACAATATAGCGCTTTGCGCTCGGCGCCTTTGACGCCTTTTTCTGTTCTCTTGACTGACATAACTAACTCATTTGTTTCATCAAACAGCAACAACCAAAGTTCATGCCCTAATACATAACATTCATACTTTATATTTTTAGCTCTGAGTTCTCTTGTAAGCTGTTGCATTTAATATTTTCTAAAAAGTCAACTTCAACAGTCATTCGCACTGGTGCCTTCAGTTCTACCGGCTCGCCCTGAAAGTCAACTAGTCTGAATTGCATATCTTTCAAATTGTGAGGGCTAATGCGAACCCATTTACCTAAATGAGTTACTATGACAGGAACGTTTGGAATGAACATTGAATTGACTGCATAACAGAAGGATTTATATTCTACTGAACCTTTACTATTAACTCCTGAAATACCTGTGACATTAGCTATTTTTGACTCAATGTATAAACAATTACCATAACATACGTATGGAACAGATTTCATCTCAATCGTTTTGTCAACACTTTTCAAAGGAAATGTCATATGGTATGCACCCAAAAGAAGTTGTACTCTATGACTCATTCGTGTTATCTTAAACTCCTTCGCATAACTGAACTTCAAAACTCCTGCAATAAGTTTAACATTCATTAAGTTTTCTTCGTTATCCTTGTTTATTGTAGTATTTATGAGAGCATTTAACACTCCAGCTAATGTTCCATCTTATATTCTACATTATTGTGAAATCTTATTCGTGCTTCTTTCCATCTATTTTCAAGCTCCATGAAATCTGTTTCGTCAGTTATAACGAATGAAGCAATAGTATTAAAGTCAACAACTCTGAAAGCAAGCGCTTCATTCTGAAGACCTAAGTTTGTTTGTAGCTTTACTGTCCCGTATTCGTTTGGGTCTGTACTTTGCAAATAGAACAACATTTTATTCTCATTAAAATATGACTATTGCTGCATATGCGTATGAAACAAATGAAGCAAGAAGAGCACATGAACTAGTAAACGAAAACTCAACTTTAACCATTGAAGGCAATGATTTAGTCATTGACGATGGAAAAACTAAAAAAGTCATTGATTTCGATACTTTTAACACTTATGACCCATTCATTACAACAAGCAAGGTTCCCATCATAAATGATGGAACGGTGCAATATATAAATTCAACAGTAGATGCCTCATTAGTGAAAGCACTGAATGTTCTCATTGAATTGTTAAAGAGCTTTCGATTTGACGACAACATTAAATGCCTAAAGAATTTAGTCATGAATGAGAAACAAATTCTCGGCGTTGCTGGTAGCAGTAATGATGTACACCTTATGACATTAGAATATTATAACGAACATAAAGATGAACTGAAAGGAGAGAAGGGTGACACTGGACCTCAAGGACCACAAGGAATACAAGGAATACAAGGACCTCAAGGCGAAAACGGTTTGGATGGAAAGGATGGAAAGGATGGAAAAACTGCTAAATCATGGATATGGAACCTTATAAATACTGGTTTAACAGCTGCTTCATATGGAGTTCTTCAATACCAAATCGGAAAGATATGGGCAGTACTTGGTGAAGAAGTTTTAGATGACGTTAAAAATGCTTTGAACTTCATTTCAAATGGTTCGGATACTATTAAAACTTTATCTGGTTGGATGCAAGAAACAAGGAGTCAAATAGATACTGTAAGACGTATAGCAAACAATGCACGTACGGGATTGGATACTTTACGAGAAGCACAAAATACACTAAAGGAAGCAAATGATATTCTTGGCTCAGTATCAGACATGCATGAAGATTGGCTTAAAGGTATTGACAAATCTTTAAAAAATCACAGTCAGTCTATTGCTGACTACAAGAAAAGTATAGATTTTTTACAAAGTGCTATGGACGTACATGATGGAAGCATAAGGAACTTACTTAATGCTAACAATAACTTACCAGGAACTATTAAAGCATTTATAAAGTCCTTTGTAAAACCCGGTGCTCTAACATTTAGGTCTTTGAGAGCAAGAGCATTGAAGTCAAGAGATGCAGAAACTCCAACAGAACCTACAGAAGGAACTGAAACAACAGAAACTCCAGAAGAACCACCAAAACCAACAGCTAATGAAATATTGTTCGAATATTTTCCAAGGTACTCTGTTCTCATTGCATACATTCAAGAAATACTTAAGAAAGCAGACTTGACTTTAGGAGATGATGAAAGTTCTGTATATCTTTCGTTCCAGTTTCAAATAGCAGAACTTTTGAGACAGATATGCTTAATGTATGACAACATCTCTGATTTCACAAGATATGATGACGACCATGACCCCGAACACGGTGAAGAAGAAGTTTTACAAACATCCATTAAGACAGGAAAGGTTTTAACTCAAAGTCTCATTATTGACACCAAAGATGGCGAAGTGGACGTTCTTCAAGAGCTGAAGAAAAATACTTCTTCGGGAGGTGGTGGTAGGCATGAACTTGAAATAAATGAGATAGAAGAGAAATTAGCCGAAAAAGCAGATAAAGAACATAAACACAATATCTCCGATATAAATGAACTTCAAGCTACATTAAATAGTAAAGCGGACAAAAATGAACTTGACGCAATGAACAAAGTTTTGAAATCTCATAAACACAATATCTCCGATATAAATGAACTTCAAGCTACATTAAATAGTAAAGCGGACAAGAACCATGTTCATTATATAAGTTCAGATGAACAGATTATAACGGACTATCATGGATATTTAACACAGGATGAAGAAGTGAAGACGAAAAATGTTAATGAAAGAAGATATAAATTCATTCGTGCTAAAGGTTATGACATACACTGTACTGTACAGTATGACACAGGTATAGCACCACAAACATTTGGTTATAACGCTGAAATTTATGCTTCATACTTCTTTGTTAACGGTGTATTAGTTGAACCAAGATTTACATTGAGAGTTAAGGCAAAAATAACGTTTGAAGATGCTATTAAAAGTAAAGCTGACAAAGATGAACTCGAAGCAATGAACAAAGTTTTGAAATCTCATAAACACAACATCTCCGATATAAATGAACTTCAAGCTACATTAGACAGTAAAGCTGACAAGAACCATACACATAAATCCTTCACTACTGTTAGAGCAGACGACATAATATTGAACTTTGACCTTGGTTCAAGTGCACCATTAGAAAATCCAAGTACAAGCGTAAAAGATACTCTTAACAATTTAGATAAGAGTTGCAGGAATATCGAAGATCATGCCAGAAACTTTGAAGCATATGAACTACCAACAATGTTAGATAAGAAAGCAGACAAAACAGAGCTTCAAACATTAAAGACTGAAATACTTCAAACATTATATCCTGTTGGTTCTATTTATACGTCAATGAACTCAACAAATCCAGCAAGTGTTTTAGGTTTTGGTACATGGCAGCAGATTGTAGACAAATTCTTATACTGTGCTAACTCTTCAAAGCAAACAGGAGGTTCGAAGAAAATTACTGAAGCAAACCTTCCACCGCACACTCATACAGGAACTACAAACACAACAGGTAGTCATTCACATTCAATAACAAAAAGAGGTTATACAAATCTTGCAGCAGGTTCGGATAGACAGGGAATGCATAGATATGATATTTCAAGTGACCCAGTAGATTCAAGCGCAGGTATTTTCTGTGGAACCGCAGGAAATCATGTCCATACTTTCACAACAAATCCAACAGGCTCGGGTGCAGATTACATGCCACCATTTGTGACTGTATTTGCATGGTACCGCGTTCAATGAACGCGCTTGAGCCTGCTTTGCGGACTTACCGTCTTGAATAAAATCTTTAACTTTACATAAATGAGCTTGAAAGAAGTATTCGAACAACATCCATGGAGGTCATTTAAGAAATTCAATGAAGCTGCAAAGAGTTGGGGATTTACTAACAGAGCTGAAGTGAAAAGGTTCTTTGACAAAAATGTTGTACATCAAACAAAAATAAACCCTTACGACTACTTTTTACCAATTTACTCCAACACTCCTGACGCATACCAATTTGACACTCTCATTCAAAGCAGAAAAGGAGGACATAAACCATTCCTCATCTTCATAAATGTTAACACTCGTAAAGCATATGCATATCCAATGAGGAACAAAGGAACTCGTGAAGTGTTAAGAGTTTTACAAAAGTTTGTAGCAGAACATAGCCCAAGTACTTTAACATCAGACCAAGACAGTGCATACCTCAGCAACGAAATCACAGAATTTCTCATTAAGCATAACATAACTCACTACACTACTGAAGACCATAACCATAACATACTCGGCATCATAAACCGCTTCATAAGAACGCTCAGAGATTTAAATCAAGAGCGAGACTTTACCGAAGAAACAATGAAACATTTTCTCGAAGTATATAATTCCTCAACACATTCTACAACAGGACATACACCAAATTCAATGACACAACAACAAGAAGAAAAGTATATACAAAAGAAACGAAGCCAAACACAAAATATCAGAAATTCAACACAATTTACCCTCATTCCTGGTACAAAAGTTCGTGTAGTTCTTGACGACAAACCGTTGACAAAGAAACGTTTAAGGTTAAGTAGAAATTATTATATCGTAGACTCTACGCAAGGTAATGGATATCTTATAAAAGCTGCTGACGACTCCATTGCATTTTACCCTCGTCATAAATTAGTCGAAAGTAGTAATGGCAAACTTGCTGAAACCATTGACGAAGCAAAGCGAGGAGTGGTTATTGAAATACTTGGCTATAACATAAACGATGACACTTATAAAGTAAGATATGAAGGAGGTGTTGAAGATGTTATACCATCTAAGAACTTGAGAGAGTCAAAGCCAACACATCTGGGACCATTAGAGCGGGAGTACTGGAAAGACAAAAATAAGCCAGAAAGAATAAGAAAATTCTTCTAAACTTTTTCATTAGATGTAAATCAGACAAAAATAATGTTTAGGTGAAGAGGTGAGATTTCACCTCTTTTTTCACATGTTTTTTCACCCTCGTGAATTTTCATGAATTTCCTTAAGATAGAAAAAATAAAGTTAGTTTTATTTTTATTTATTTTTTTTATTTTGTATGTAAGAACAGAAATGTCAATCGAAGCAAAAACATTCACGAACAAATCTAATGGCGAAACATTCACAAAAGGCACTTATAACGGTATTGAAGTCTTACGTAGAGACAAGGATGGTTACATTAATGCAACAAAGATGGCAAGAGAAGCAGGAAAGTTAAACCATTTAAACAGATTTCTCAATAGTGCTAAAATACAGGAAATTCTTGAGTTTTGGATGAACGAATACGGTGGAGCCAAAAGTGGCTCGACCTCAAAACAAGCATTTTATGAGCTTACTAAGGGTGTTATAAATGAATTCAAAGGTATTTACATACATCCTGACCTCGTTCATTCTGTTGCTGAATGGTGCTCTGTAAAGTATGCATTTTATGTCAAAGATATTATGGACTCCATAGACAAGAAAGTTCATGAGAAATTAGATGAAGAAGAACTCGAAGATACAGTAGAGAATGCTAAACCTTTGTTTGAAGAAGAAGTTGGAAAAATGTGCGAAAAACAATTAGAACATGAACGTGAGTTATGTTATGGTTATAGAGATTCTCCATACGAACTAGACCAATGGGAACAAGAAAATTTAAAGAGAGAATTTAGAGAATATGAACTCGCTAAGATAGCATTAGAAGCTGCAGAAAAGAAGTTAAAAGTTTGGGGTCGTTTTGTACAAAAATATTGTGAGTAAATGAACTCATTATTTTTGCTGAATTCAGCACAAAATTCTGAGTAAAATGACATATGGCACGTGTCAAACCGTTGAGTTTTCACAAATTTTAAAAATTGCTGCGGAAAGTTCGTCAAAAAAGTGAAGGTTCCCGACGGTTTCAAACCGCCATACTTTACATGAAGATAGTTTACAATGTCAACTAAATATCATGTACGATAGAAACGGTTATGTAAAGTTTACATTTTGTAAAGTTTTGTCCTGATTCAAGACAAGTCTTGTATTTTTTCAGAACAAGTCTTGTATTTTTTCAAGACAAGTCTTGTATTTTTTCAGAACAAGTCTTGTATTTTTTCAAGACAAGTCTTGTATTTTTTCAGAACAAGTCTTGTATTTTTTCAAGACAAATCTTGTCCTGATTCAGAACAAGACTTGCACTTTTTAGTCTGTTTTTCTTGTAAAGTTCTCAAATTTGAGAACAATTGTCCTGATTCAAGACAAGTCTTGTATTTTTTCAGAACAAGTCTTGTATTTTTTCAAGACAAATCTTGTCCTGATTCAAGACAAGTCTTGCACTTTTTCAGGAAATCCTATCGTCCAACTTTACAAACGTCACTTTTTCAACATGATTGCATTTTGGTCGGGGAACAACTTTCTCTCATTTTGTCACTTTTCTATCGTCGTGTTTTGTCACTTTTCCTTCAGGGTGTGTGTCAGAAAATATCCAAAATCTTTATAGCCTCGTATCTCCTTCAATTCTTGACGGTTTGACATGTATGACACACCATTCAATTCAGAATTATGTGCTGAATCTTATGACCTTCATTTGTTCGTGACTTCTTTTCACATATGTAACCATGAATTTTTAACATTTCTTTAACACAGAAAAATAAAGTTAGTTTTATTTTTATTTATTTTTTTTATTTTGTATGTAAAGACAGTAATGTCAACATTAGAGAACACAACAACTGCCATCGTTCATGAAGCCATAAATGAAGAATACGAGTACATACAATATAACAAACAACTTCGCCTCATTCGTTCGGTCAAAGATGACATGTACCAAATGCAAAGTATAATGAATGCTCTTCGTTCTACAAAGCAAGCATATCATTGGTTTGAAAACCAACAGGCAAAAGAACTTTTAGAAGAATTTCCTCATATGATTGCTTCCCTCGGAAAACCGAGGGAAGAGATTCCGTACGAAAATCGCAAGAATTTGGCTCCTGGTTTGAAAGGTTATTATGTTCATAGACTTTTAGTAAATGCTGTAGCAATGTGGGCTTCACCTCGTTATGCTTGTTATATTTTCATGATGTTAGATGAACTATATAAAGCAGAACGTGGAGAGATGGAAAAGAAACTTCAAGCAAAAGATGAAGTCATTGAATCCAAAGACAAAAGCATACAGAAAAGAATACCACGTTCAGTACCAAAAGGAAAGGAAAAAAGCTATAAGTATATGATTTACGCTGAAGAGATGGAGAAAGAAGAAGATAGAGATATGGTTATGTTGCATTTAGTGAGAAGAAACAACAAGAGCTTTTATGACTTAGCTAAAATATATAAATCTGACAGAAACTGGTTCTATCGTGAAAACTTACCGATTTCAATGACACCGAATGAGCAAATAAAGGAAATTGTCAAAAGTACTCTTCCTCAAACACACTATGATATTAAAGGTTGTACAATTCTTACCTTCAAAGAAGACTTACCATTACTGAAGGAAAAAATAACAGAATATTTCGATAACTTCAAAGAGGAAGAATAAAAAAATCTAAGCTAATTTTATTTTTATAAAATTTTATCTCATATGAAAGAACATGAATTTAGAATATTCGGAACTCATGACAGAAGAAGAGAACGAACAACATGTAAAAGATTATGCAAAATTTCTGAAGGTATATAAAGCATTTAAACAATATCTAAATGCTTCTAAAGATTATGCAAAATTTCTGAAGGTATATAAAGCTTATGAAAAAGCGTATGAAAAGTTTATACATTGGGGAATTGTTGTAAAATATCGATATGAAGACTAACCAAAAACATTAACTTTTTGACGAAGTGAAGATTTGCACTTTGTCAAAATTTAATGAAAAACATTAACTTTTTGACGAAGTGAAGATTTGCACTTTGACAAAATTTAATGAAAAACATTAACTTTTTGACGAAGTGAAGATTTGCACTTTGACAAAATTTAATGAAAAACATTAACTTTTTGACGAAGTGAAGATTTGCACTTTGACAAAATTTAATGAAAAACATTAACTTTTTGACGAAGTGAAGATTTGCACTTTGTCAAAATTTAATGAAAAACATTAACGTAAACATTAACGATAAAATTTATTTCCTGTGTTGTTGTCAAAATGTCATGTTGTCAGCATTTTTAAAAGAAGTTAATTAACCTGGTGACATGGTGACGTGGTGACACTTTCAGTTATTCAAAAATATATTTTTGCTTAAATAGCTTCAGGGTCTATTTCTTCAACCATTTCACTTCCTTCGTCAATGTCAATAGAAGCTTCTTCAACCTTTGGTAAGAATTTCTGTATGACATCTTTGTTCGTTATTGTCTTCAGAGATGAAGGATAATATTTCACATTTGTTTCACCTTTCTTATATTCTTTCTGTTCGGAAAGATTCATAGCAATACTGAAGAAGTCAATGTTAGAGTTCTTTATGACAGTATAATGAGTATCTTTGACATTCACGAAGAAACCCTTTTGTTTCAAAACTACTGCTAACTCTTGTGAAGTATAACGTTTGCGGTCAATGACGATAGCTAATGGTCTGACATACTGACCAAACTTAGATTCTTTCACAAACTTCTTGTTAAAGATAACATTGACGTTTGAAGCATTATTGAACTCATTCTTGATGGCAGTAGCGAGAGCATTGTATGAAAAGAACTTGCAATCTTGCATGTGTTTCATTAAAATAAAAATATTAAATTATTTTGAAAAATAACTTAAAAAAAAATCTAATCTAATTTTTTCAAAAAAATATTTTTTTATTTCCTACTAAAGATGTATCGGAAGTTGTCTAAGTTAGAACACTCGGAAATAAAACAACTTCTTACAGAAGCTAACATAGATGTTGCAAAACATTACGCGACAAACAAAAAATCACTCGCTGACTTCATTAAAGACTACAATGGTGAAATAAGTTATGATAGAATTCATGAGTTCATAAAGCCGCAACGCGGCGAGGACGAAGTCCATGCAAGAGCATTTCCTTTAAATGACGTTGCTATTGACTTATATCATAGACGTTCAGTATCTCATGAAGTAAGGCGTGAAATGTTTGACATAACAAATGCAAACGTTGGTGAAACAAGAAGAAGAGACGACACACTGAAACAACAGAGAAGAGAGATGTTTAAAAGTGCTATAGAACAAGTTCGCAAAGCTAACGATGTCATTCGTTCCATTGACGACAAACCAAAAGAAGGTGAGAGATGGTTAAAGAAAGATGAAGAGAATAGGAAGAGAAATGTGAAGTCAGGCAATAGACTCATTGACTTTAACATCGAAGCTTTTGATGAACCAAACAGAGAATATTTACACAAACATTTCGGTAAGGTTTTCATGAGACTCTTAGAGAAGATTAAAATAAACTCACAACAGAGATGGATGGTATGTTATAAACTTGGTGGAAAGTATGAATGTTCTACGTTAAACCTCAATAATATTGGAACATTACTACATCAGCTCTTGAAGGAGAACTTTATATCAGAGATAGAAGCAAATGCTGCAGGTATTGTTGAAATGCACTATGACTTCTTCTTGACAAACATAAAGAATCTTACCGAAATAAAGATGTATGATTTAACAGAATATGAAGGCTTAACGATGTCAGATGTAAAGAAAGGCAAACCAAAAAAGAGACCATATAGAGATGAAAGCACACTGACAAAGACAGAAAGATTTTAACAGACTTAACAAACAGGGAAACAGATATAGATGACTTCTGGAATGAAATCCTTGGTGAAAAGAAGTTTTATAAGAAGAGAAGCGGTCAGTTCTGGAAGTATCTTTGCACATTACCTATAAATCTTGAACGCTACCAAATCTTCAATGAACTGAACAAAAGAACTGCAACACTTATGACAGAAGACAATTGTTTCGTTTATGCTTGCATTCAGGCTGGAGTAAATGAAGAAACTATTGACCACATGAGAGAAGTCATTCGTGTTAGAGACTTTCCTCAAAGTAAAGTACAAGAAATTTCTGACGCAACAGGTATAGCATTTAATGTTACCATTGGTTACTTTAATGACTCAAGACATAATGAAATAAAGAGATACATACCAAAAGAATGTGAAACTGTTCGAACTATTGACCTACTTCTTGTTGAAGACCACTACATGCTAAACGAAAGACTTCCAATGACAACATACTTCGCAAAATTACAAAGAAATCTTGAAGGAGTGTGGTGGAATGAACATTGAGAAACAGATGAAATTATACAAAGAGAGAGAAAAATATGTAGTTCGTTATGATAGAACAACACCGTTATGGGATGTTATGAAAACATTGTGGGAGTGCAAATATTTCGAACCTATTTCTTATGGAGAACTTTTCACATATACGACTGACTTATATAAACAGAACCTTGCACCATTTAAAGATTTGACATATGCTCCAAAGTATTGTGTACAACTGAAGAAGAAAGCAGTCAAAAGAAGTAAATAAAAATAAGTGCAAGTTCATTCCTGAGCACGTTTTCTTTGCTGACTTTGAATGTAGTACCGATGGCTTTCATAAAGCTTTTAACATATGTTACGACAGTGAAGATGGTTCAGTGAGTGAAAGCATTTGGGGTCAGAACTGTGCAACAGAATTTTTGGAACGACTTCCTGACAAGAGTTTAATATATTTCCATAACCTCAGTTATGACATAAACTTCATCTTAAGACACATGACAGAAGTGAAAGGAACTCCCATCATTAAAGGTTCACGAACAATGCAAATAACTGGCTTATATAAAGGAAGGGCAATTATTATAAAAGACTCTTACAGTGTTATAAATAAGAAGCTTAAACTATTTCCTGCTATGTTTAACTTACAAACAGGACCGAAAGAAGTATTTCCATACAACTACTACAGCAGTGTTTTGTTAACAAATGACAACAGAACTGGTGTCATTTCTGAAGCATGTAAGTTTATCCAGGATGTGGATACGTTCATGAAAAACATAGATTCCATCAAAGGTTGCAGAATAGATGAGAACCACTTCGACTTAGAAAAATATAGCACGTTTTACTGCAAACAAGATGTAAGAATTTTAAGAGAAGGTTTTGTTAAGTTCCGCAATGACATATTGAAAGAATTTGATTTAAACGTTTATGACTACGTTAGTATTTGTTCAATTGCTAACAAATTATTTGAGAACAGAGTATACTTCTCGAATGGAAATCTTTATGACCTCTCAAATAAACCAAGAGAATTTATTTCGAGATGCATTCAAGGTGGAAGATGTATGCTGTCAGATAACATGAAACAAAAGAGCGAAAAGAAACTCATTGCTGACTTCGACGCTGTTTCATTATATCCATCAGCTATAGCAAGACTTTATACTTTAGAAGGTATTCCAAAGGTTATGAAGAAAGAAATGTTAAGCACAGAGTATCTCATGAGACATTTATTCGATGACGACCAAAAGGAACCCATTGGTGAAAAGTTTATGTCTGGCTTCTTTGTTCTCATTAAGATAACAGAGATTGGAATACATAGACACTTTCCTTTAATAGTTTGTGACCCTGAACTAAATCCAGAACTTAACGTTCCCAGAAGTTCAAACACTTGCTGTTTAATGTATGTTGACCATATAACATTACAAGACCTCATAAAATATCAAGGTGTCAAATGTGATGTGTTGCAAGGATACTATTACGATGGAAACAGAGATATTAGAATAAGAGATGAAGTAAAGAAGTTGTTTGAGTTAAGGTTAAAGTATAAGAAAGAAGGAAATCCTTTGCAAGAAAATATAAAGCTCATTCTGAACAGTATTTATGGCAAAACTATTCTATCTCCTATTGAGTCAAAAATAACCATAGTAGATGACAAAGATGCTATAAGATATGCCATCAGAAACTACAACCATATAGTGAAGTTCGAAGGTTTGGATGGTTCAGATAAAACTATTTTCAAGCTAACGAAAAGCATTTGCAGACACTTTAACTTCTGTCCACTTGGTGTTAACATTCTGTCTATGTCGAAGAGAATAATGTGTGAAGTATTCTGTACTGCTGAGGACTTAGGAATGGACATCTTTTATAGCGATACGGACAGTATGCATCTCTACAATGAAGATATCCCTCGTTTAGCTGAAGAGTTTGAGAAACGTTATGGAAGAGTTCTCATTGGTAAAAACCTTGGTCAATTTCATAGCGACTTTGCAGAAATCACACCTGGAAAACAAAGTTTAGCATACAAGTCAATATTTTGTGGAAAGAAGACTTACATAGACTTACTCACGAACGATTTAAATGAAGTTGCATTTCACTGCAGAATGAAAGGCGTGAAGCAAGATGTTATTGCTTTAACCGCTAATGAAATGTTTCCTGACTCTGTTCAGTGTTTCTATGATGAAGATAAAGGTTTAATGGTTCCGCAAGGAACAATGACAAAGACTCTGAGTTCAGTTTAATGAAACTTTACAAAGCACTTTATGACGGTCAAGAGATTGGATTTGACTTATGTAAGTCATGTCAACCTTGCTTTGAAGAGAAGTTTAACTTTTCTATTCAGACTAAGACTTCATTCATAAGAAAGCTTAAGTTCTGAGGTCATGAATGAGAAAAATAATAAGGTCATTTATTTTTGTCAGCAATGAGGTCATTCGTGATAAAAATAAACTAGCGGCAAGGGCGAAGCCCATGTGGTCATTTACAATACTGCGATGGTAGAGTTTAAGAGTTGTGCTTCAATGTAGAGACAGTCCTTATGGTCTGGAGGTAAGAACACTGGGCAGTTATGGTCATGAGTGGAGAACATGTCTATCCAAAACTCACGATTGAAGCCAGTTAATTTATAGTATTTAGGGTTAGGAAGTGGTGAAGTTCTTGTATGACCAATGAACTCATTTTCAACTCCCTTACTTAAGTTTGAATATAATATAGCTTGCTTTCTATCCCAAATGCCAGGTGTTACAATCTTTGAAAATTCATTTTTCCTCGGAAGCATTGCATCATAATTGAAAACATTCTTGAAGTCTTCATTGGGTTCAGAGATTTGAAACTTATACGTAATGGATTTTCTTTCTCTTTAGCTACTTCATTGAATGGTGAATATATAACAAACTGACAGTCATGTGTTCCATCTTCATTTTCATTAAATTCATAATGAAAGTCTATAAGTTGTGGCTGACTACCTTCTTCTTTCAGTTGTGCAAGAAACTCACGTAAAGGCTGTAAAGTTTGTACTTCAATGTTAACTTTTTCTCGAACATTCATTAAATGAAATCATACATTGCAACAATGTTGTATCGTCTTTAAAGTATTTGTATATGTGAATGTTTTGGGCGCTTAAAGACTGTTCGTCATTTTCTATCTCGACTTGAAGTATAAAGTCAACCTTTCTGAAAGCACGTGTTATATACATAGATGTTATGCCAATGTACTTCTCTTCATTTATGTTCACAATCCAGTCTGTTGGAAACTTAAACGTTACTCTGTTCCCCTTTATTTTGACGTCAGGGTTTTCACTACTGAACGCAACAGATAAAGGTATTTGTCTATACATTTAATTCGATAAAAATAAACCATTTACTCTTTCTTTGCTTCAGCTTCTTTAGCTTTTGCTTCAGCTTCTTCTCTAGCTTTCTTCGCCAGCAAACGTGGGTTCTTTTGTCTTCCAGCAGCTAATGCAGCAAGTTGTTTTTCACTAAGTTTTCTCTTTGGTCTCTCTGGCTTTTGTTCTTGTTTTTGTTCCTTCAGTTCGGATAAAATTTGCTCGCGAATTTCTTTCTTCAATGCTTCAACATCTATGACCCCTGGGTCTTGTCCGTAGGCTTGTCTGAGTCATTTGACTGCAGATAAAAAACAAAATTAAAACTTTAACCGATGTAAAATGAGCTTGTCAAAATCAGAGCGAGAGTCTATTATATTAAATGACGCAAGAGGAATACAACATCCTTTCTATTACGTAAGTCAGAGTAAAGATGGTAAAATATACGTAAGAAAAAGAAAGGTTCCATTAGCGAATGCAGAAAGCGACAACATTAAGGTGTATGGCAAGGGTGAAGTCCACGAAGCCCATTAAGCTTCTATTCAAACTGAAAAGTCAATAGAACAAGAAGAAAAGAAGCCAGATGTACTTTCAATAACGAACCAAGAGCTTATTGCAAAGTTCGTGAATTTCATTGAAAAACAAACCGAGTCAAAGAACCTGACCCGCCAGTGAAAGAAGTTGAGACAAAAGAGAATGTACAGTTCATTGAAAATGTCAAGAAACAACTTCCACCACGAATGCCAAGAAGAAGAGTGAGAATAATGAAGTAAATAGATATTTTTATCTGAAGTAAATACATGCAGAACGAACAGCTAAACGAATTTACTCCAGCAGAGCATATTCATCAGATTCGCTCATATTTCGATATCATAGACAATGCAGTTCAAATTGGTGACACTAATAGAAAATATTCTGACGCAAAGATTCCATCACAACCTGGAACTGCTAAAGATAACACATGGGTAACATTCAATCTCTCACCTCCTGGTGAAAATATGTTGGACCTTTACAATACATTCATTACGTATAAAATGGAAGGTCAATTTATTGTAGATAAAGAAATTGGTTCAGGTTCCAATAAAACAAACCCACCAGGATTTTGGATTGGTTTCGATGACGCTTTCTATGCAGTTGCTGGATATCAAATCCTTGCAAATGGTCGTATCGTATATTCTCAAGACAACGCAAGAGAAGAAGCATATATAACTTCAAACTCACAAACTACCGAACAAATAAAGAAAGTAGATGTTTTCTCAAAGACTCGACATGAAGATGTATGGAGTCATTCGGGAACATGCAGAACAGGACAAATTGTTAGTGGTCCAATTACAGCAGGAAAATCATTTGATTTTAAGCTTCGTTTAAGAATTCCTGTTAGAAGATTCCTTCCATTAGAAGCTATTCGATTTATTCCAGCTTTTGCAGGAAACATTCAGCTTAAAGTAAAGTTCAGTAGCGACGCCTTACAATGCACATCTATATCTGTAAATGATATCATTGCTTTCAATCCAACTCTTAAAGTTGCATTTGCTTCAGATTCAAATCCACCGACAAATAAATTTGTTCCATGGAATGAACCATTCACTATGATAACGAAGGCAGTAGAAGCTAGTGGAACAGTTACTATTACAACTGTAACCCAGCAACTATTTCGAACAAAGATGGATTTTAATGAATGTTTCATTCATCCAAAGTCATTCTCTTTAGACCCTAACATTTATACAGAACTTGTAGAACATTATACAAACGAGGCTTTATGTTTTCCTGTTAAAGTTATGGATTGGATTCCTATGGACGGTTCATTCTCAAAGAATACAGATAGTTCAAGTGCAACATTTACAGCAGCTTATACGCCTATTAATGTTAAAAGTATTTGGGCACTATTTAGAAAGAAAGACAACTATTATGTTAATTTTGAGAACCCTAAGTTTAAATATCTTCAGCTTTCCATGGGAGCTTATGGAAATATGCCTGCAGAACCTGAAAAATCATATGGACCTGTATTTTATGAAATGGTTGCGAACGCTTGCAATACAAACAATGATATGATTGGATTTAATGAAGATGTTATGAGGTCATTGGTGGATGATGGTAGTGTGGAACATAAATGGGATAGCTATGACAACACACATTTCTTATGTGGTTTTCCAACAGAAGTGGACTTTTGCTTCCAGCAAGGTCAAACATCTACTGCTCCAATAACATACAAATTGTCTGTTAAAGGACCTATTGAACTAGCAACTGAAAATGTACCAAAGCCACTTATTGGATTTATGAGGGATTGTTGCTTTGCCATTCAGGTGCGTGCTAATGGAATCCCAATAATAAGATTAGATGACTATAACTTAGCTACGGACGACAGTGAGGAATAAAGGATGAACGTTTATTTTTAAAGCTTATAAATGAGTTCTTCATCAAGCTCTCGCGAACCTTCACCATCTATGAAACAAACTTTACCAAACGATTATGGAGCACCTATTGAATATTTCTTACGAGCTGCACAATGGCAAAGAGCAGTTCACCAAGGTTAGGTGTTCCACCAGCTCCTGTCAAAAATAGCATTTGGTCAAGTCCTTATATAAGATATGGTCTCCCACTAGGTTTGCTAGCTACAGCAGGAGCAGTTATGATGTTGAAAAGAAATAAAGCAAATGTTATAAATAATACTGAAGTAGCTGAAGTTAAACAAACTCCAACACCATCACAAACAACACCTTCAATAACTCCTGAACCTATGGAAGTACAAACTCCTGTTCAAAAGTCAACTCCTAAACCGACTCCAACATTTAAACCAGAACCTACTCCTCAAATAAATCGTAAAACTCCTGCGTTTCCTTACTGAAAAAATAACGTTATTTTTTATTTAATATTAAAATTTTTATTTGATTGAAATGACAAATAAAGTCACTGAAGCAATGAAACAAAAGTTTTTGGTAGAATACATTAAATCAGGAACTATTCCAGAAGGTTTTTACATTCATACTATGAAGGATGGTAGAGTTCAGTTTAGAAAGATAAAGCAACCATTAGATAAAGAAGGAATTTTGAGAAAGATTAAATTACATGAAGACAACATTGCTGAACTTAAGAAGAAGTTAGAAGAGTTGGAGAAAGGAAGAGAGTTATAAAGCAATGAATTC